AAAGAGTATATCGATGCCAAAACAACTAGCCGTTAATTAGGTAGGGTTAATTAAGGGTATGTTCAGATTGGTACCAAAATAAACCTTAACAAATTTTGGCAAATTGACAACATTACCAAAATTTTGATAGGATTGGCTTAATAATATTACCAAAATTCCATACGCATTGCCAATATTTGATAACAAACTAAATATAGCCACAAAATTGACAATTTTACCAAATAATGGTATTGTTAAAAATGTCATCAATCTGAATAGGCCCTAAGTCAATCTAATTTATAGTAATAATGAATGGTTGAATGCATGCCTTATACAGAGTAAATTGTCCCCTTTTATCTCCACTCATATAAAATATGGTAGTGGCTGCAGTGAATATGCCACCACCCAACTACCACGCAAGGCCCACAACACACTTTGACAAGATTTTCCCTATTTTCTAGCCCCATATGTCATAGATAGCTCTAACTCAGTAGGTACATAGAAAATGATAATAAAAGTAAGATGACAGTAATATATTTAAGAGTAGGATTAACTTTCTTTGTGAACTTTATAATATATACAATGAGCTATATACATTGGTTTTCTAAAATATTCGTTGTAACAAACATATAAATTATGCTTATAGTATATATATGTCTAAAATGACCGGGTTCCACCGTACGTACCGTCTGCAAGCAGTACTATCTGCAGCTAGCCTGGAAATTAAATTCAGATCGATCGACCTGATGATAGAAATGGCTTACGTGAGCACATATAGATGCAGTGCACGAAGTCGTCTGGTTTCTTTGGAATTTCTGCGCACTGACGTGCATCCTTGATTTGATTCGATTCTATCCATGCCTGCCGGCCGCGACAACTACGTTTCAGGGGAGATTCAGATAATTCATACGTCAAGCTCTCTTGATCATTCGTCAACATTGTTGCTTAGTCCCATCAACAAAAAAAGGGTTAATTAAAGATGTTCGATCGATCATTCGATGTTCCATCTTTCATCAATATGATCCACTTGATATTGATATGTATAATCATCATCAATTAGCTATAGCTAGTTGCACTGCTGGAGAAAGGGTCTTCACCCAAGGTTGGTAACCCCTGTAGTCCTGGTTACGAATCCAGGACTAAACATGTCCATCTTTAGTCCCGGTTGAAATAATCAGGGTTAAAAGATAGAGCCAGATCCGATTGATAGTTTCTTTTTTCTTTTTGTTTTTAACTTTGAATATTGATTTCACTACATCCCCAAATTGATCATCTCCAAAATCACAGAAAAAAAGGATCATCTCCAAATCCCAAATCAATCATCTCCAAATACATCACAAATTCTAAAAAGAAACATCACATATTCACATCACATACAAATCAAATACATCACAAATTCTCAAAAGCAAATTCATCACAAATCCTTAAAAGAAAATCCACCGCCGCCGCCCTCCGCCGGGCCGCCACCCGCACCGCCACGGCCTTGTGCGCCGCTGCGCGCGGCGGCATCCCGCCTGCGTTGGAGGGGAGGGGGAGGGAGCCGCCGCGCCCGCAGGGAAGGAGGAGAGAACATGAGAAGGGAGAAGGATTGTAGAAGATGATAAGATAAGATTGGAGAGGAGGAGAGATGAGAAGATAAGGCTGGGAGAGGAGGAGGCGCATGGCTCGGGGCGCCCGTGATTTTTTTATTTTTGATCCCGGTTGTTATAAGCAATCGGGATTAAAAATGGATCTTTAGTCCCGATTGGTGTTGCCAACAGGCACTAAAAATAGTAGAGGCTCTGACTCATTTTTAACTGGGACTAAAAATGATTTTTTAGTCTCGGTTGATAACACCAACCGAGACTAAAAGATAAAAAAAATTGGTTAGGCTTTTTAACCAGGAAAAAAATATGTTTAGTCCCAGTTCCTATTCAAACCATGATTAATATGGTTTTTGGCCAACCGATAAAGATGGTTTCTGCAGTAGTGCTGGCTACTAGAGTTTGTTGGCTCCAAAATTAATTAATGACCATGTAAATGAGATATGCACATATAGCGTTAGATTTGGAAAAGGGCATGGGCGATGATAATTACTTTGGACCACAGGTGCACTATACCAGCTAAAATAGGGAGTGCTTATCTACTCTTCCCGCAAGTAGAAAGCACATTTTGTTCCAAACATGTTTAAACGTAATGGCGCACTAAGGAAGTAGCACTCAAATATATACACTGACCTAACATGTATATGCATCATGCATGCATGGACAATATAGATTCCGGTACAATCATTGCTAATTTGTATGGAAGGGAATTAAGTAGAAAACAAAAATCTAAGGCATGATGACCACTGTAAACCATAAGAGAAGCGAAACAGATGATTAGGAGTAACTAATAACTAGTAGTTTTATGGGAGTAGAAGTCGGACACAAATTTATTTGTTTTGTTTCAATTGTAGATAGGGTTCATACTCAAAATCAGACTCTAATACCATATTACCATATTCAGTTGCATGCAAATGCACATGCCAATCTCGTCCAAAAGCTTAAGCTGATGAGATAAATGAAACTTATACTTAAATATATATATAGTCATCACTAGTTATGCTAGTACGAATGCACATAGATACGTATTGATCAATCCTTATGAAAGCCTACTAATCTGGGAATGAGATAGAATCTAGTAGTAGGAATTATATATCCAGGTCTAGTTTACAGACAGCAGTAAAGTTCCCCAGAAGGGTTCTTTTTGATAAGATTGATTAAGCCAAGCATGCATGCAGGTACCGATGTCCTCCGGCCGAGTACACATGATTAGCTAGATAGCGCCACATCGAGCTCCAAATTACAGTCCTAACTAACACAAGTGAAGTGTGGAAGATGATTATATGATATAAACACTATTCCCTCCGTTTCACAATATAAGTCATATACACACATATATATGTATATGTATATATATATATATATATATATATGTATATATATATATATATGTATATATATATATATGTGTGTGTGAATAGAATGACTTACATTATGAAACGGAGGAGCTAACTTAATTAGCTAAGGTGCATGCAAATACTTATATGAATAGGTCAAGCTAAGAGCCGTAGGAGACAGTGAACGTGGAAAGCCTCAGGTGGCTCGATCAGCTGAGCTGGGCAACCTATCGATCTGCACGGGACATGCATGGTCTAATTGTTAAGAACCCACCAATTAAGAGGCAATAATCTATCTCTCTATCTATCGATCTATCTGCAGAGATAGAAGTGGGTGATAACCGATGAAAAAAAAAGAAAAGGAAAATATATAGACGCCAAGTTAAGCTAGCTACACAAGCCGACTCATCGCATCGGCATTGCAGATTTGGAACGCATTAATTACATGCGAGGAGGTTTTGTTTAATTAGAGTGATCATGGATGAAATCATGAAATGGTTTAGTGTACTTAGAGCAAGTTTAATAGTATAGCCAACTACTAGCTCTAATTTATCTATAGCCACGCTCATTTATACAATAGTTACATACTATACTATTAATATCTGGTCCCACCTGTCATACACACACTGCGCCTTGGAGTCGTGCTACAGCTAGCTACAAATCTGTAGCCCGCTGCCATTCTCCCTTCTCATTTATCTGCTTAAAATATGTCTGCAACTGGTTTATAGCCTGCTATTGTACCTGCTGCTCTTAGTAGGGGTAGATGGGTTGGGCAGAAAGGCACCCTGGCAGTGAGGTGGTCGCTCCATCTGGTTCGACCGCCGTCTTTCCAGGGTCACCTGTTCCGTTTTGCTTTTGTTTTTGTTGTTTTTTGGCCAAAGTTCGCACGTAGATTCAGAACGAGGAAAACAAGGTTAGTTTAGGCTGGACCTGGATGAATCAGCATGGAGCTTTTTTGTTTCCATGCCATTGGAAGACGAGCGGGAGCTTTGACACCTGGTGCAATGCTGATCCTTGCCGTTTCCACCATCTCAAGAGACTATTCTGAGCTTTTCGTTTCCGATTCTTGTTGGCACTTGGCAGGCCGAGCCAGAAAATTTCCACACTTAGGGCTGAGCTAATGGGATCTCAAATATTTTTATAAATTATATAGCATTTTTCAAGATTATAATGGGGATTATGGAGCTAGGCATGGAGCCCAAGCCCTAGCTGCCCCACGCCTGATTCTGCCCCTACTTGTTGGGTTGGGTTCGGTTCTATTCCCTCCGTTACAAAATAAACTAACCTTGTATAGAATAGATGACACATCTAGTGCTACCAATATGTCCGTTACAAAATAAACTAACCTTATATGGGATATAACACATCTAGTGCTATAAATCTGGACATAAGTAACCTCACACATCCTAAATTTCTAGTACTATAAATCTAAACATACACATCTAGATTTATAGTACTAGAAGTTTAAGATATGTTACATTTTGTATGAATTTGGTTTATTCGGGACGGAGGAAGTACGCAACACTGCAAACTCTCATCAGTGCCAAACGGCTGAGCTGAGCTTTTACTTCTACGACAAATGCGACATATCATCAATGTCTTGGAAACGCCAATTAACGTCGTATACTCGTATTACAACTACTAGGGAGCCCCCACAGTTGCAGATTATTTGGCTCCCTCCTACCTCCTTGACAGTTGGATCATTAAACAACACAACATAAGGCTATCTCCAACAATGAAACCCAAAATACAATACCCATTTCTAACAATGAAACCCAAAATACAAGACCCATTTCACGTTTGCATAGCGCTACAGTTAAAGAGTTCAATACATATTTTTGGTCTTCTCCAACAATAAGACCTAAAAGAGAACCCTTGCTGCACATAGATCTTTAGAAGGGAGGATACTCAGATTTAGGTTATGCCTCTTATAGCACGCAAAATAGGTCTTCTGTATAGATCCTCTTATAGCACGCAAAATAGGTTTTCTGTATAGGTACTCTGTTGGAGGCTGAAATAGTACTATCGGAGACCCATTTTGGGTTCGGGTGCCCTTATGGGTCACTTGTTGGAGACAGTCTTAATGCAAGGAAATGGACAATGGCTACAGAATGTAAGGACCAGTCTGCAAATATCTTATATTACAAGGGAAGATCCGAGTACACAGGAGCATTGAGAAACAAAGATGAGCAGCACAGCAGCTATCTCTATAATCTAGACCTACAGCAGAGGCAAGGGCATCTCTGAGAAGCAAACAGGTCGACCCAGAGATGCCATACACAAGTTCAATTCAGCACCCATACAATGATGAAGCCAGAAGCTAGATGCTCCACGGTTAAAGACAAAACGACACATGTCGTTATGGAGCACAAGCAAAGCTCTGTAAAACTTGCCGTAGATCTAGGGGGTTCTCAGCACAGGATTCTACGATCTTCCCTGTAATAAAGCTCCCCTGATTGCTGCCCTTATCATTGCTTGACATGATGATCTTATCGCCATCTTCCCTTAACAGCCCCCCTTGCTTGCAGATCTGTGTCGAAAAGGAAACTTTGTAAGTCGAGCAACTTACCATAGACTCCTCCAGCAGATGCTCTCTATCTTTTTGTCCTTTTTACACCGTTTTCCAACCTCATGCAGTTGATGTCAGACTAACCCTGAGATAGAGTAACAAACAAGTACCAAACAGCAGGGTATAAAGAAAACAGAGCAAATTGAGATAGTGAACGCACAAGGATTGAGTTCAGGGTCATGCCTCAATGATGCCTTCTGTGGCGCATCCGAGTTCACACCTGCATGAGCTTTAGAAACCACTTCAATCCCATTGTTTGGCTTTATATATCAAAAAATGAAAATGAAGTGAACAAATAAAAAAGGTTCAGATCATATATAAGGACATCTTAATTTCAAAAAGGAGAGAACCAGAAAAGACCTCTAACTCTTCGGGAAGACCAGTTTGAACGACTCCATTTCCACCGAAATGCACATTTTCAACCAGGGCACTTCCCATGTCCTCGGCTCTCTCCAATAGCTCCCCACTTTTGTTGCCTCCCAAGCTTTCACTTCCAACGAGCTCTGACACAACCTTTTCTGCCACACGTTTCAAAGATACAGCTACAGTTGTAGTGGTGCAGTTCTTCATATTGGAACCACAGTTATCATGCTCTTTAGTAGCATCACTAGGACAAACCGCTTCCACTCCCACACACTTGGAGCCTGATGTAACAGAGTCCAGACTTTTTTCAGATGCCAGTGGTGAATTCAAGCAATTTGCTTGTTCTAGATTGCCATTGGCAAGTGAAACCGGACTTCCACCACTTGCACCGGAAGCATCAGCAATATTGCCTGATGGAGGCGATGAAGTTTTCTGGTGAACTGGGCTAATTGAGGGGCTAATTGAGGCCCTCTTAACAGATCTACCAGGTTCACTATCATAAACCCCAGCTGTATCATGCTTTCGCTTGGGCTGCCCATCTGGGGATCTATTCGCTGTGCCATCTTCAACATCATTTTTATTAGACTGCTGGGGATGATTTATATGCCTCGAAGGACGAGGTCTCTTGTAGCCCTCTGGAAACACATAAGATGGAATCTGCTTCCTCCGAACATGAGATACAGCCAACTCCATCCCAGGTCTCCAGTACCCATACATGCCGATATCATGCCTAAATTCATCTACTGTTCCACGAATATCAAACTGTTGACCCTCCTGTATTTTTGCACCTTCTTTCCTTGATAAACCCATGAAAAAAGCACAATGAGCACATTGTCTGGAAGGGTCAGCATACTCATGTGGGTAAGGATGGCATTGTAACATTCCATATGTGTCTCTTTCAATCTGCACTTGTCAACAAATAAGAAAAATACTCTAACAATCAACCACATCAAAAATAACAATAATAATTAGTAATCTTAACAGTCTATAGTAAAGAGCCAGTTTAGTGGTAACAGAAGGCATGAAAACTATCACCCTACTAATTCTCAAGCCAATCTGCAATAACTACTCTAAGCTTCCCCATGGAATTGGTTGATATTTTGTACTAGTACTGAATATACAATACCAAATCAACTTTCACAATCAAAACATTCCAACTGACTCCACATAGCCTAATGAACAGTCCTCATACCACTGACCCTTCCAGGCAATAGCTCCAAAGGCCAATGATCTTGTAAGCTACTGTAGTACTCCCTCCGCCCCACAAAAAACAAACCTAGGCATGGATGTGACATATCCTAGTACATGGAATCTGTTTGTTTTTTGAGGGATGGAGGGAGTACACAATAAAGAGCTTAAGCAACAAATTACCTTTAAAGTAAGTTGTCTTAACCGAGATTCAACCCATCCCTTCCAAAGTCTAAGATCTTCTCCATCTTCAGCGATGATGTCAACCTGGAGATAATTCTTATATGCTTCAAAAAATTGGAAAGGCTCAAAAAGAGCAGACCAATTAGCCTTACTGATATCGATTTCCTGCATTGCAGAGCAAAGGATGCATAGTCAAAACAGAAAGCACTCACTAAAAAAGTAACTTATGTAGTGACAGAAAACTACCTGGCAAATTTTGTTACCAAACTGGAATTGCTCCATCATAACCCTAAGTGTGCTTGTTGAAACATTATAGCTGGAGTTCATGCACGGGTAAGCAGGGGTTATTATGGGCATATGATGAGATCTGTCACGGTGATATTTGCGTGGATCCCACACAGGAAAACCAAGTTCATCCTCCTCAATAGCACAAAGCATCACGGGATTTGGCCATTGCCATTGAGTAAAAACTCTAAAGAATCTTGAGACAAGCATACTTGGCACAGCATTAGGGTAGAGCTGGCAGACACGTGCAACAAGTAAAGCCCAATTGACACCGCCAAGAAAACCAGTAACCTGGCAACGAAGAGAAGTCAATAACCAAACTCAAAAAGAAACGTTACTGACAATAATGACAAGAATATACTTACATTAGAGTAAACTCCTCTTTTTTTCGCCCAATACTTCAAACACCTTAGCGTTGTTCGAAAGTTCTACCATTAAGCATATGGACATCATTAGACTGCTATCCTAGAAGAACAAAAAAAAAACATGCATATACTGTAGATTGCTCAGGCCAACCTCAACATTTGGAACAAGCCTAAGAATCTGGTCAGCTACTCTGCACCCATTAAGACTGCGAACAGTTACTTCATCAACATCATACAGTACTGATCCTTGCGAGATATCCAAGTCCTGCAGCAATACATTAGACACAATGTATATCTTGATTCTTGAAAAGCTAGCATAACAACGGGCAAAATGGATCAATAGAAGAAAGGGCAACTGTAGAAATGACATGATTTTATAGGGTAAATGACATGATTTTAAAAATCCAGAATGTTGCAAATAAAAATATAGGGTAAATGACATGATTTTATACAAAAGGCATAGCAGAGAGAAAGATCCCTTCATTGCCTGAACTGATTTCTTATGGATGGCAGGAGACCACCCAAGGTACAAACAATAATGCAGTCTGGATAACTTCAACAATAAACTTGTGGTTTTATCATAAAACTATTGCATAAAATTCAAAGAGCAGCAATAGAGATCTTCGTACCATTATCCAAGGTATCAGAAAATGACTATTCCGAACAGAACCCTTAACTAAAATACAATGTAAAATGCCATATATAGCATGTGACGAAAGAAAATCTTAGAACTATTATGCGGCATACAGAAACAGGTAAGTATATGAAAACATTTATACTTTATACACTTACTGGTGGTACTACTAAGAGAGAGACACTCGCATAAAGAAGGTCAATTGATATTCCATGGAATTTAAATTTCATAACAGGAACATGTGCATCAGGTACAGGTTGCAACTCAGTAACTTCCTCTGTTTGTGCCAATATGTCATGTAGTACAATAAAGAAATCCTCCTGCAGAAAGAGTATCTATGTTAGAGGGCACTCATGACATCTCTAAACTGATATTACATGATAGAATTCAAATACGTTGTCACCTCACGATTCACATATGAAGGCCCAACACATAAAGTATCAATGTCAGCTCCAGGGCCATGAACCTACAAAAGCAGAAACATCAAATTATGTAAATTTGAATCAATCTACCATAAGAAATTGATAGAAAATAAGAAATATGTGCACCAAATAGAATAGAAGCATAGAAAGGAAAAAAAAACAAAAAATGCTTTGCAACCTAGCACCAACACTGATGTTTTAGGAGTAGCCTTACAATCACTGTTCTGCTCATATTTACATTATATACTATTAGTTCAGCGTGTAACAGCATCATATTCATGACATCACTAGTTCTGAAAAACTTTATCTTTATCAAGCTCGGAATGCATCGTCTTTGTCAAACTACATAAGGGACAGTAAATAAGTGAAGCTAGAAAAGTTAAAGGGGCTAGACAAAACATGACCAAATATTGACTTCAAAGATTACTATTAGTTCTCAAAACTGTTGGGGGTCTACTTGAAAGAACTCATGTATTATTTATTCCTATATTAAGTTATCAACTAACGTAGCTACTAGCACCTACTTTTTGGAGCAATGAAATAAACATTGAGCTAAAAAATTAGCACGGAATGACAGAAAATAAGAAACAGGCCTAATTATTTTAACAATGATATGATGCTAAGCTCATAACAACTAACACTGATGGAGCATGACCACACAATAAGAGGCACATGATATAGGATACTAAGGCCCTGTTTGTTTCAGCTTAAGATTATTATAATCTAGATTATTGAGTCGGATTACTATAAGCTGGATTATAATAAGCCGACATAGAATAAGTTGTTAGCTGTTTGTTTCTTTGGATTATTAGCTGGTTGTTAGGTGTTAGCCACCCAATAATCTAAAAAAAGCACCTTTAGAGTGGATTACTAGATTATAGTAATCTGGCTTATAGATCGTAATAATCTATCATAATAAACTATCTGTTTGTTTCAGCTTACTCCTAATAATCCAGATTATAATAATCCTAAGCTGAAACAAACATGGCCTAAGATCATACGACCCAGGATCCAGGTTGTATACAACCACAAGCTGTACTCTAATCACCTTTAGTGTCCCCCACAACCTAAAAGTTTTACTAAGAAGCTGTTTCTCATTACAATTATGATCAAATAATTTGTGGCAGCCATGTCAAAGGTTGGTAGTGGACAAAATTATTTTTGAACTCAGAACTAAATCACTTAGATATGAAATCCCTATCATTAGGATTGCTCCTATCCGCCATCAGTTGCAACCAAATGGCAGGTGGCTTAATTATAGTAATTTAATCCTGCTCCTACTATTAACACAGATTATATTGTGGACCGAGAAAATTCATATATTACTCAGGCACAAGGAAATTTAATCTCTTCCTCTGTTACTAATGTTGATGCACAAGGAAATTTAATCTCCCTTTACCTGTTAAATGACAGGAAGTTCATATTAATATTAAGGCACAAGGAAATGTAAGAAATCTCTATTCCTCTATTAAATGGCAGCAAAGGACACTATCAATAGCTCCCACTAATATGTAAAACGATAAGAGTCAGACAAGGCAAACAATACTACAGAAAAAACTATGGAGGTGTATGTGGTAGGAAAATAACAGAAACACGGGATATAATATAATAGTTACCCCTAAACGGTATGATCCAAACGTGAAGAGTACAGCATTTGCTTCTTCAACCATCTGATCAGTGTAACCTCTCTGGCTGGTTAACTGCTTCACCCAATCTTTTACAATCTGCAAGTCCAAACAAGAACGATGCTTAGCAGATGATTTTCAACTTACAACAATATACCGTAGAAAAAAAAATGGCGGAGCTACATTATGAGGGTGTGGTGCCCAGGAACCCGGTTAAAGTTCGTCTATTTCACCATATGTGCCCCCCCCCCTAAAGGCTACAAACTCAGGCACCCGCATCAGCTTAAACTCAGTCAAAGCAGAGTAAAGCAAGTAAGGGGCACCCCTCTCCATTTTGTTCTAGCTCCGCCCCTGGTACAGGGGGACGAGTGCTAATAGCACATTTAGAACAGCAACTACCTTCTAAGGTACACATCAAAATGCATCTTCTTTTTCTCTATCCATTAAAGCAGGACACAGTTAAAATAGCATGACACCAGAAGTAGATACCTTATCGAGCTCCCCTAGCACCTCCTCTCGCCTAGCCGACTCCTCCGGACTCTCATACAGACCGGCTTCAACCAAGAACTGCAATTATGATCAACGAAACAATAGCATCATATTTACAAAATAAGGCAAAACAAGCACACTAATCAAATAAGGCAAGACGATTTTGTAGAAACCTTCTCCAACTCCGCTGTCTTCTGCAGGTCAACCTCCGCCGGCTCAGCCAACGATATCGGTTTCGTAATTCCATACTGCTTCTGTGGCTGCTCGGCGACGGCAGCCGCTGCGGCGGCGTTACAGGCCGCCATGGAAGCCCCTCACAAGAGAGCACGAAAACCGATTCCGCAACAGAACCAACCTCACTGGAGGAACCCGAACCAGCGCGCGCAGATCGGCGATTCCGCAACAGAACCAATCTCACTGGAGGAACCCTAAGCAGGGCAGATTGGCGCCTGCAACCCCAATTAAAAAAAAAAAAGCAGTTCCCCCTCAAACTCCAAAAAAGGCACTCAAATCCTCTCCACGAAATCGACCGAGCACACGATCCCCTCTAACACTTCCAATATATAATAAATATGATAAAATCCCGAGAAGAACTACGACTCCGGGTAGGATCAGGAGAGGGATCCCTCGGTGCACACGGATCCGAATAACTCCCCCGTCGCCGAACCCCTCATGCCCGATTTCCCCCACACGGAAACCACCACCACCACCGACCGACCGGATCAGATCGAAACCGCCTCGCCCGGGCCGCCCGGATCCCCCCAGATCGGAGGCGCGGGTGGGGGGGCGGGAGCGGATCAGGCGATCCGCCCGCGCGCGGGGACGGCAGGCGGCGCCGCTCCCGGTGGCCCGCCGCGGCGGCGGCGGAGGCGGCGAGGGGAGGTGGAGAGGAGGGGATGGGGATGGAAAGCGAGGCGGATGGGAAGAGAGATGAGAGAGAGAGAGAGAGAGAGGAGGAGCCCGTGTGTTTTGTGAGGTGTATCTGTCGATATTTTTTTTTTTTTTGGTCTCGTGAGGATCGAGATTTTTTTTGGCGAGGGGTTTAAATGGATTTTTTTTTCCGGGTGGGCGAGCGAGGCGAGGGTCTCTCGCGTTTGCGGTTACTTAGTCTGAAATCTCCATTAGCTGTTTAATTAGGATGATTAATTAATTGGTTATTGGTAATTTAATAGTAATACTGTGATTACTGATTAGTGATGGGTTCGGTGGGATAAACACGCGGACGCGGGGGGATATGTATTCTGTTGGCGCCGCCACGCGAGCGAGCGGGACACGCGGTTGTGGGGGAGAAAACGGGGGAAGGAGTGGGCGCGTGGCGGTGGTGGTGCGGCGCCGACGACGAGGACGCGGCGGGAGATCTTTCTTCGGTAGGAGGGACTAGCGAGGAATAAGAGCTTTGATCTAGAAGGTTCATCATATTTCTATCACTGTGTTTGCATTATCTACTATGTAAAAAAGAAAGATAAATTCTAGCTACAAACATACATCAGGCACGTAGTTAGGATTACAATATTTTATTTAGGACGGAGGGGTACAAAAGTTTCTACCATTACTATTTATTAGTATAAATCCAGGTGGATGTCACACCAAACTCTTTCAAATTTAAAATCTTGCCCTACACTGTCACGATTTCTCTGTTAAAGCACCGAGCAACTTGATGTCATATCGATTGCATACACATGCAACGTCTACCAATTTAAATTTGTTTTCAGGCTGAGTCCATACCATTCCTGACATTCGAAAATATCCACTTCGTATTCGCACACCGTCCATGTCTCGTCTGAAATCATTACGATTCTAAAATTTCATAATATATACATGTGAAGAAACATAGTGTATATGAATTTTTTTTAAGTTGTTTTAACTCTTCTTCTTTGAAAAATATTGCTTTACATATGCTGAAATTAATTAGTCAAAAGTGGAGTTTTATGGAATATTTCAACCATAAAACTTATGGTTATATGCCACACGTCATAACATTTGTCTTTTTTTACAACTTTAACTTATAACATGGGTTTTCTGAAATTTGATCAAAATCAATTCGTTCACTGCGAACATTTAAATAGTAGAACTACTGGTGCAAATTTACCATACCATAAAAGGTACGAATATTTGAAGGAAAAAATTCACACAATGAGTAAACATGGAACTATGTGGCACAAAGCTTAAGAGGAAATGAAAGAGTAGAAAATACAAATGTGCTAAATATGATCACAAATTATCCTTAGCACTTTCTCGTCATCATAAATATCTTGGTAGTTGTCCTCCAAATTAAGAAGACATTGATAGTAGACAAATTGTGCATTATGTGTACTAAAATTAACGCATAGAACGATGCAGCGACACATGTGTGCAGGCGAGTGCGATAGCGAGGAATGGATTCGGCAGCAATGCATACATCTCCAATCAGAAAGAGGAGGTTGTCTCCCAACCAAAGGAAGAAGGAGGAGGAAGGAAGGAAGGAAAAGAAGGTCTCCGTTCGACAGGAGCTCATGAGCTGCGTCGACATGGTCTCTGGGAACTATGCGTTGACGCACTATGTTGATATGCTAAACAACGTTGCAAGCTGCAGTAGCACTCGATGTGCCTCTGTTAACGTCAAAATTTGCAGATTTTTCGTCAATAGCCTTGTGAGGTTGTCCAACGCCCGCTCGTCAGTCTATGGCAGAGGAGGACGAAGCACCGCAATCGACATGGATGTAGGGCCACCGTGGTGTCGGGGAGGAGAGCAGACTGGTGAGGAGGAGGCGATCGACAATCATCACCGCCCCTAACCTCATCGTGTCACTGTAACTACTAGACCCACGCCTTGTCACCATCCCCCTACTAGTTGCATCTGGATCTGCTTGCGCTGCCAATCGGTCCCGTGCCGAGCCCTACTAAGCTCGTCGCCGCTGCCACCGGGCCGCGCCTCGTCGACGCTCCTCTCCCTAGGTCGCTTTGTCGACCGCCGCCGCTATTCCGGTATGTTAGGGTTTGCAGGGCAATTGGGAAGGTATTAAAGAAGTGATGCATGGGTGTTTTGGCCTATATGAAAACATAGTAGACAAAGAACGCTTCAAAACACATATCACTATACGGCATGGTATGTATCCATTTTTGCAACTATTTTTAGTGACATGGCTTCAATTAGATAAATTATCACTACTAGAAAAACCATTTTTGCAAAAATTGGGTTCTTTTTCCTAGGCGGGTATCGCCCTAGGAGACAAATGGCCGCCTACGAAAATAACATATGTGGGGTGGGATTGTTGTTTTTGCAGGCGGAGCTGTTAAGAGGTCCGCCTATAAAAAGGTGGATGATATTAAAAATGTCACTGCCCACCACCAAAATCGCTAAGTCCCACACCAAACGCCTCTCCCTCTCCGCCTCTCTCTCTCTCTCCCTCTCTCCTCTCCTCCTATCTCTCCCACCTCTCCTCTCCCGGGAGTTGTGGCGGCGGCTAGCAGGGGCAACGGCTGATGGCGTGGAGGCTGGCGGCGGCACAGAGGTGGCGGCTACCGGCGGGAGGCGGAGGGTGCATGGGCGGTGACGTCTCCCCTCCCTCCTCCCAGATCCGGTTGAGGCAGCGGCGGTGCAGAGGTGGCGGCTACCGGCGCGAGGCGGAGGGTGCATGGGCAGTGGCATCTCCCCTCCCTCCTCCTAGATCTAGTGGAGGCGGCGCACAGAGGACAGTGACGGTGGAGGGCGGCGCCGGTGAGGAGGTGGCGGCTACTGACGGGGGCGAAGGGTTCATGGGCGGCAGCGTCTCCCCACCCCTCCTAGACCTGGTGGAGGCGGCGTCGGTGGGCAGCGGCGACCTCGCCTCCGGATCTGGCTAGCAGCGGCGGTCCTCTCCTTTGGCGACGACTGTGATGCATTTGTTTTGATTGTGAACTGTTTTGATTGTGAACTATGTTGCTTCAATGTTAATTTGTGATGTTTATGTGAATTTGGATTAATTGGATTGGATGGAAAATGGGAACTGGATTGGATGGGGAATGGGAACTGGATTGGGAACGGGAAGCTGTAGCCGGCCGAAACGGCAGTAGCTGCCCTTTTTTTTAATACGCTGGAAATTCTTTTCGTAGGCGGACCAGATGCCCGCCTACGAAAATCAACTATTTTTACATACGTTGAGTTGCAGGTGGACCAGTTATCTGCCTGCGAAAACTTATTTAGCCCGCTTGGAAAAACACTTTTTCAAGCAGTGTATAATTCTACTTTTTAAAACCGGTACGATTTATAATGATTATATATCTAGTTAACCCTTACAATAGGTGTAAGGAGTTTAGGAACTTTGTTGGAGCTGGTTTACCGAAAGCAAGGCCCCAGCATTATTGATACGTGCAGCCGACAAATTGCCTTTTTTTTTTAACTCGCCGACAATTGCCGTTGACCAGCCTGAAAAGGAGGAATGATGCCTCAGCCCAATTCCCTGTCCACCAAACCGAAGAAAGAGAAGTCAAGGCAACACAATTTTTTATTTAGTGATGCAAATAAAAAGAAATTGGTTTGTTCTACTCGGTTGCTAAAAGCATTTGTGCTCAAAGCTTAGATGCTCCATCCTTTGTACCACCCTACCACTTGCTACTTTTGAACAACGCTTTTAGTGCGTAAGAAGTGATTGCTTAATGAACAACATGTTCAGCTAAACGTGTGATATATATATTCGCCTCCGTCGTAAAATATAAAAGAATTTAACTATGCGTTATGCATTTGTATTATCAAAATTCCTTGTGTTTTATAACGGAGATATGACTACTTAAAAGGGTTTTCTTGAGTTTTCCTTAGTAAAACATCAGCGCAATGTGAGAGTATCCATTCTTAGTTATTACATACTATTAGTTCTTGAGAAGGAAAGAGGAAAAAAAAATAAAAGACTAACTATATTTGTGGTGCCACATTTTTCATAAAAACAATTAAATTATTTTACACTTTAAATTAAATCCATTCACATGTTGAATTTCAAAACGTAAGTTGTAAATTCCAGAACTTACACTATAACTTTTCTAGTACATTATATATAAGAGAATTAAGATAAAAACAAGTGATTACATGCTTATTGGTTAATAGAGATTAGAGAGTATACGAGAGATTGAAAAAAAAAAGAGACGAGAAGAAGTGGCAACCACATAGAAAAAAATGACTAGAACGAAAAAAAATGTGACGGTATATTTTTTGTAGAACTGAAAAAAAAATCTGGAATTGGATAATTACATAGGTTGGACCTTTTCATTGTTAAGCAGGAAAAAGTACATTTTGACTCCTTCAAATAAATCTCGGATCTGCGTATCCCTTAACCATAAAACTAGGTTTAATGACTCCTCAAACTATTAAAATGGGAACAAAATAACTTCTAGGGTAGTATTGAAGGTGGTATTAAGCTGATGTGGTTGTCTAGTCGTCATGGAAATTAAAAAAAAAATAGAGTGGGACCACATGTAAGTGATAATAGAATAAAAAAAAGTTTGCTTCCGCCTCCTCACCGCGGTCGTCCGTGCATTCCTCTCCAGGGATCGAGGACGCTTCCTCCACGACGCCTTCCTTTTCATCACACTTGCCCCACGGGAGGCGGTGGTCTCGTCCCGCCACCATAGTGCTCGTGTCGTTCTCCAGAGCAGAGCTCCGTGGCACGGGATGCCCTCGCGCTGTCCTACAACCTAGGGTTGGCGGACTGCCAGCTTGATCTGTTGTTGCGGGCCGTCTCACACCGTCCCACTATGCCATCAGCTTTGCATTACTTAGGTGACGACTCCCTTGTATTTTGCCACCATTGATGCCTCCACGGCCGGTTATCCACTTTAGATCCACTACACCACTGCCAGCCTCACCACACCTCCCCAATCTCTCCCAACATAAAAAAAACAATTTCCTAGTCACTAGGAACGCATGATGACACCCTTGGAAGCCTGAGATCCTGACATGAGTTCGCTTTCATCTCTTCTCTTTTAGTTGGA